GCTGTGGAGCAGACAGCTGTGATCCCTACCTGCAGGTCATACAGGTGTGTGCACTGCTTACTGGCTGATTACACTCTGTTCTACCAGTCTGTGTCAGTCACTCACTCAGACAGTCAGTCAATCAGTCAGAGAGTCATAGAGTCAGTCAGTCAGAGAGTCACTGAGTCAGTCAGTCAGTCAGACAGAAAGATAGCCAGGCCCTCAGTCAGTCAATCAGTCAGACAGTCATAGAGTCACTGAGTCAGTCAGTCACTCGGATAGAGAGTCACTGAGTCGGTCAGTCAGTCGGACAGTCACTGAGTCAGTCGGACAGTCAGAGAGTCACTGAGCCAGTCAGCCAGTCGTTCTATTGGTTGGTTGGGCAGTTAGACTTATGGTTAATCAGACAGAGTCAGTCAGTCATTCAGACAGTCACAGTCGGTCAGTCAGTCAGTCAGTCACAGTCGGTCAGTCAGTCAATCAGTCAGTCGGTCAGTCAATCACAGTTGGTCAGTCAAACAGTCAGATGGTCCGTCATTCAGTCAGATGGTCAATCCGTCAGTCAGTCACTCAGACAGTCAGTCAGCCTGTCACTCAGTCATTCAGTCGGTCAGTGAGTCATTCAGTCGGTCAGTCAGAAATAAAAGGAATAAGAGAAGAGAGATGAAGGGGTGTTGAATTCTATGTGCATTAAAAGTATTTGATTACATCTGTGATTGTTTTTCACTTTCTTTCTTCTTCTTAAGAGAGGAAATAACACACGGTCACCTGCATTCTGACAAACCCCGCCCCTGCACTGTGATTGGCAGCAGTTCATAACTCACAGGCATTGTGAATTCCGCCGATGTGGTCCGGACACAGAAAAGAGAAGACAAATGATTTTTCCTCTTTAATTTAAAAATTCAGTCTGAAAAAGAGACACAGAGCAGTATTACAGAAGGCATTTACAACAGCAGAGACATGGTTTCTGATCCTTTCTACTTTTTTGGCTCGTGAAGAGAAATGAAAGGAAAAGGGAGATGAGTGATGATGACAGAAGGGTGGAGGAGTTCCTCAGACAGGAGAAAAGCTAAGGCACGCAGATCCCCCTCCTGCCGGAGAGCCGGGGATTCCGAGCAATTGTGCAACAGTTTGCCCAACAAAAAACATTCCAGCACAGAGAACAACAATCCGCCATGAGATTCCATGAGATTCTCTGAAAGGCAAAATGATCATTAAGAGCTTAAAAAAGAATCACACAGTCAGACTAGCACAGTTTTCTACTGGAAACAAATTCCGGAAAGTGGAGGAGAAAAGAACACCCGTTTTTTTTCTTCTCTGTTTATCAAAAAAATAATTTTCTTAATATTTATGACAAGTAATTTTTTTCTACATAGTCAAAATTGCAAGAAAATGAGTCATTATTTTGATATAGTCAGTCACAATTAGGAGAAAACTTTCATTTATTTTGACATGGTGAATCTCATGTTGAGAAAATAAAATTTCAAAACATTATTTTACTAAGTTGAAATTTTGAGAAAGTAAGTTATTTTGAAATAGAAAGTCAAAATTTCAAGAAAATATGAAATTATTCAAATACAGTAGGCCACATTTAAAAAAAGTCAATATTTCAATATTGTAAGTCAAAATTACATGGCAATTATTATTTTGATTTATTAAGTCAAAATTTAAAGAAAATGTGTATTTTGATATACTAAATCAAAATTATGATAAAATAGGCCATTATTTTGATTAAAATGTAAAAATTTCAATATAGCAAGTCAAAATTATTTCAAGGTGCTAAGTCAAAAATTTGACATACTGCTTCTAGAAGCAGAACAAGAGAGAAATGTAGGTGTTGTTCTTTCCTCCTCTACCTGGTAGGAATGAGCTTCCTTTCTCATTAAACTTCCCCACCGTTAGGTAATTTCCCCAGCGTCGGCCACTCTGACCGAACACTCACTTTAACTTAAGGTTATTTACAATACTTTAAAAACATCTGTCCGTTACAAAATACGTTTGTTTTTTGTTTTTTTTTACATCATCATTCCTACCAAAATAGCTATAGTACATAAGACATGTTGGAGCGAAACAGTATTAAATAAGCTTTAATGTGAATGGTCATCAAAGAAACCTTTGAAAACGTGTTCATCGTCAGAAAGATGACGGTAGATGACGCGAGGTTGCCATCACCTACCCAGAAGATCCCCCTCCCCCCTCACCCAAAAACAAAGCGGCTGTGCAGTGTCTACAGCCGAACACCGTCAGTCTCACAGCACACTGTATAACCACACAATGCATAACCATAGACTTCTTTTATTCTTCATATAAAGTTAATATTCAGCCATCCTCAAGGATGGAATCTCCCTTAATGTCAAGATCGTAAATTAGAAATGCGACTGGATTGTGTTTTATTCTTCTATTAAAAAAAGAAAAGATAAAAAGAAAGATTTTTTTGTTGTACCTTCACAATTATACAATACTGATGTAACACCACTTAGACAAGCATAGAAGAGAAGTGGACGCCCCCGGAAAAGCTCGGCGGCGCTGAGACGGCTCCACTGTTTATCCACCCCACTGAGAACACAGCACAAATGACACAAGTGCTTCACTGTAAATGCGAGATTACAGCCCCCTTTTCGGATCACATGACAACACCGACACTTCACTGTATCAGACACGCCGCGTCTCGGAGGACAATCTTGGTTGCATACAGAGTAAAGGCTGGACCTGGGTTACGGGGTCCTGAAAGGAGGGCGACGCCCTCGAATAGGCCTCAGTTTATACAGAGAGATATATAGAGTCCTTTACTGTCGATGTAGAAACAGAACAGCTGTATAAAAATGGAGACGAGGTTGGTCCAGTGCAAACCTTCAAGTCCAGCAAGACTGCAATCTTCTCAGCTAAAAATACGTCCTGACCGGTTAGAAAAGAGGGGCTACCCTATCATTATTTATCTTTACGTGAGCGATGCGTCCTTTCGGAGGAGCCCAGCCCGGAAAATGTGATGTCATAGGGTGGGTCCTTGCCACAAGTGCAGGAACCGATGGCCTTAGACCAACAGCAACATCCATACTGAAGAAATTCTCACATTTAACGTAATGGGTATAAAAAACAATAATGAGCAAAATTTGGATTTGAATGATCGCAAGCGTCCAGTTTAGGTCCGCAGTGGGCTCAGTTCATGACCTGTACAGCCAGACTTCAGGGAAGGTGAAAGTAATGCTAAGATATTGTGTTTTTTGACGTTTATAAGTTTGGGGCGATGGCCTTTGTAAATAAAGGCAGCTTGTTTACAAAAAAAGGTATTGATTGAGCTGCAAAAACAGCATATAGACATTAGTCATTGACTAAAAAATACCTATTTCATTTATATAAACACATGAATAAATAGCCAACTCAGAACCCTCATCCTCAACAGTAAATCCTCTGCTTCAGGGAGAAAGAAAAAAAAGTAAAAATAATTTTTTTTTTTAATTTTTTGTTATTTTTTTCCCCTCTGTGTGCCAGCACAGCTGACACCTTCCATTTCAAGTCAGGCAGCCTGCAGGCAACAGCATGTTGTACAGGCGGAGTTCGGAAAGCTGAGAGAGAGAGAGAGAGAGAGAGAGAGGCAGCCCGGCAGGTCAAAAGGAGCGTCTCTCGCTCCATCTTGCACTCGTGGAAACGTGGGAGTGTGGTCTTGTTCAACTCTATTTGGCAATTAATTCAATATTTAATCCTATAGACAAGCCTGTGAAAGGTGCAACACAGACTCCGACCAGCAGGAGGCGAGCATTACTCCCTTTAAACGGAATCGGAGCTTTCGCTGTTGCAGCTCAGTATTTCACGGGCTAATCTGTACCGTGAGATCTGAGGTTGACTTATGTGACCGTGCGAAATTCAGAGACCCTTCATTTGTTCAATTTCCAGTCAAAAGAGCCATTAAGTACACATTCATTCTTTACTCAGTCGCAAAATTACACAGGCGTCTCGCTATATAATCTATATAGCTATATAATATAAAAAATGATATTTTGAAGATATAAAGCGTGATTAGCGATTAAATATTGCCCCCACCTCTCCGAACTATACATGTGGTCTGCTGGAGCTTTCTATTCTATTTTTTAGTTTATAAGCTGTTTCAAAATATAAAAATCTTTACTGAAAATCTTTAATAAAACATATTAAGTAATCCTGAAGAACCCAACATCTTTTGAAAACTACTTCACCTGTCGTTTTGATAGATGTTACTGCAAACGTATGTGTTCATGAGCTTCTTCTGGTGTGGGTTCATGGCGACTCGTCTCTAATAGTGCTCCCTGCTGCAGACTGCAAAGCCACGCCCACGTGCTTTACATATTAAAATAATGAACTGTTTTCCGTTATAGTGGAGTCACTCTGGAATTCAGCTATAGATGTCTTTGGAAAACCATGTAGTATTATATTTTCATAGTTTTCATAATTTAACAAGTCTGAACCACTTAGACCCTTAAGTTGTACGGAAAAGACTATAGGAAATTTAACACAGCCTAAAGGCTTTTAAAGGCCTCATAATAACCCAATATTTCAATAATAAAAAATGAATTAAATGTTATGTGTCTGTAGTATTTGTTTAATTTTATTAAGCTGTTAAATTAGTGCTCTTTAGTTCTGTCAGCTCTTTTTCCCAACATGGCGATTCTCGCTTATCGCGCATCGATTAATTCTTGTCAATCATCAAAAATATCAGATTACATCTCAGCTGTTTGAGTGTTCGGTCACTCTTTCCCTTCATTCAAGCCTCCATTCTGTTCAGGAGACTCACTCTCAGCTCCTCAAAGAATCTGCAGACACGCCTCCAAAGTTCAGTCTTAGAAGCTGGTTGATCATTTTCTGAAGTAATCAAACACATTCAGTGGTGTTGAGGTCTGGACTCTGGGGTGGTCAGTCCATCGTTTCAGCTTCTTTGTTTGATGTGTCCGTCTCCTTTTCTCAGTGAGGTTCTTCTTGATCAGCTACACATCCTTTCAGACCCACAGCGCTGAGTCGTCTTCTCACAGTGGAAGGATGGACAGAAACACCTGTGGATGTTTTCAGATCTGATCAGCTTGATTTTCTCCTCTCTCTCAGAGATGAAAGCTTTAAGTGCTGTTTATCTGATGGGGGCACTGCAGGTGTCTAGTAAGAACTATACGTTTGCAAATCTTGTACTTAATGGCTGTTTTGATAGAAAATTCAAGAAATAAGGGCTCTGCCTTTTGCACAGTCCTGAGTCTTATATTAGTGAACTGCATGCTTCTGTGTGTGGAGGTTTGTGTCGTTAAAGACAGGCTTACTGTAAATGTACGCCTTTTGGTCACACTACCAGTGTTTAGGTCCTTTCTGTGCTTGCAAAGACCTTCATGACTTTCAGCTTCCAGCAGCAAAGACTGCGTAAAAGGCATCTCGTTCTCATCTGTTTAGCAAAAGTTCAATCACAGTTATCTCAGTTTTCAAACCTAAAATAAATAGAGGAGAAAAGCTCGACAGCACTCACATGACTACAAGTGAAACACCCAGCAAAACATCGGCTAAAAGTTCTTACTTCGTACACTTTCGCACGACTCGCACTGTATCTGAGAGCTGCGACAAGAGCGACTCATATGAGTGATGGTAAAGAAATAAATAAAGAAAAAACATAAAAACAACAACAACACAAACAGGTCGGGCAGGAGCGGCGGCCGTGCGGCTGCTGCTACCTGACCCTGCCGTTTGCCCTGGGTGGGCCCAGCTGAGATTTGGGGTCCGGGCTGAGGGAGCTCCAGGCCGTCTCCCTGCACGTCTGCATGACGGGGCAGCCGCTGGGTGCCGTGGAGCACACGTCCACCGCCGACCACACCTCGCCCACCAGGCTGTCCACCCAGCGTTCCAGCTTGGCGCCGGTCAGCCCCGCGTTGTGCTCGGCCGCCTCCACCTCGCCCAGGTGCACGGGGATGTTCAGGATGGGGTTCAGCCCGTGGAAACTCTGCTCCATGTAGCTGTTCTTGGCCGGCCCGTTGTGCACTTTCAGGGCGTCCTCTGTGCAGGAAGAGGAGAAAGAAGAACTTCCTTCAACCCAAAGCTTATTAAACGGAACAGTGTGATGGCTCTAGGCGTCAGTGTGTCAGCTTAACCATTTCCAAAGCTCTCCTCAGGGTAGTGTTTACCATCTAATCAACCCTCCATTAAAGCAACACTATGTAGGATTTGGGGATTTGGTGACCTCTCTAGTGGAAATGTGTAACTGCATGTAATGTGCAGAAGAACATATTAATATATTACTATTATCATATCTTCATCAGTATAATGATGATCTTGAGATAATTTGGGACCTAAACATCGAGCCGGACCTTCTTTTTTAGTCTGTGACATTGATACGTAAAAATGTACGACGTGGTGTGAAAAACTCGACGCCTCTGACTTTTAAATAATTATTTCAGGCTTTACAGGGCGACTCACAGCAGCGTAGACTCACCATATTTTAGTGTGCTCTTCATTCACCTCGCTCAGTAACAACACTTCTTTTAGCTTTAACAACAAATATTACACAGTGCTGCTTTAAATTAAATCAGGTGCTTCTGAATACCAGAGCACAGCTATTATTTTTGTGACTGTGTGATCTGTGTTGCAGTTTTGTGAGGTAAACATGGTGAGGCAGGTTCACTCACACTGCACTGCAAAAAATGGTGTGTTGTCAAGGAAAGCGATCTTAAATATACTCAAATAAATCTAATATAACTGACTAAATCTAATATTTCTCCTGTTGAGGTTGTTGTTAGCTTAGTTTAAGACTGTGAAATTATCTCACTATACTGGCAGATAATTTTGCTTGTTGTAAGAAATGAGCTTGAAACCAGCAAAATTATCTGCCAGTATATAGTATTTTTATTGATAAAGTGCACAACCATCTCAAAATGGGAAATATTAGATATCAAATACTAGATCAACTAGAATTAAGATAATCTTACTTGACAAGATACTATTTTTTGCAGTGTGTATTTGAGTGTTGCTGCTACACCTGAACCAAACTGTTGTAGTATAATGATATATGACTGTATGATGGTGCTGAATAGCCAGTAGCCTCTTACTTTAAATGCAGCACCTTATTCGATTCATGTTACTTAAACAGGCGACTCTTAAAATGCCTGTTTGGTTCATTAAACAGCAAATAATGTCATTTATGTTGGACATATTTGTGACTAACAAAAAAAAGACAATAAAAATCGTCCATTTGTAAATTTGGATTAAAGATATTAGAATAAAAATTCATAATTGAGTGAAGTGAGAAGTCTGGAACCAAACCTGTGCTCTTCTACCCATAATATTCAAAACTTTATACAGAGTAAGGAAGTGTGTGTTTGTATAGGTGAACTTTTGCAAGACTATTAAGAATATTGTAAGATTATTTAACATATTTTTGGACCTTTTTTACTTGTTTTATGTCATTTTATTTAGATCATCTTACTTTTCAAGATAATTTTCTTGAAACAAGCAAAATTATCATCACTATTTCTAAAAAAACATAAAATGATCTGCTAATGGAAGAAGACACTTTCATGAGATAGAATGACTTAAAACAAGTAAAAATGTCTTGAAATGAGTGAAATAATCGTATAATATTCTAATAACAATCTCATAATGGGACATATGATACATACTGACTGCACCTAAGATGTTTTCACTTGCAAATGTATCATTTTTGCAGTGTGAAGGAAAACGTGAAAAAGTAAATGAAATAAAATGCTGGTTTTAAAGCTGTTTTGTGTTTCCTTTTCATTCTGTGTTTTTGTGTGAGAATCTGAAACCATTTATTGTGCAATTAATCAGGAAAATCCAGTTCTTTTTCACGGCTCTGTACACAGAGAAACCTGGGGCTTGTTTGCTTTCATGTTCCCGAACGCAGTTTTTTTTCAAATATCGCTGTGCACGTTTGTACTGTCTTGTCTTTCTGGCTCTCACATTACACTTTGGCCTCTGAAGGTAAAAAGTTTGGGCGCCTCAGACTCGGTGTCGGCTGCAGTGATGCGAGTGAGCTAACGTTCGCTAACAGAGCTTGCAGGATGCATCTTTATCAGAGTGTAAAAGGATGGTAATCGTGACCCTTTTTCTGGCCAGTGTTGGGGCAGCTGATGCGTGGAGCACGCCTGCAGCCCTCACGCAGCTAACCTGGACTGCATAAAGGCACTCCATAAACTTTTATTGGCTGTGGCTGCAGAGGCACGATGAGCAGGAGGACTCAGAGTCCACCGGCCGCATTAATCACTCGCCGCCGCAGTGATTCATCCAGTTTAGCAGCCGTGCTCCCTACATCAACACCACACCGACACCAGAGCTGCACTCTCATTAGGCCCTCTGAGGGTCCCAGTGCGGATTCAGCCGTGTCAAGAGACGATACGCGTCCACTTGCACTTTCCTCTCCGCCGGCCGCTGGTGTGAACAGGGACCATATTGAACATATCTGGGACAGTAAACTCTGTTTGATCATCCTTATTTTTATTTAATTCTGCAGCAAAGCTGACAACAAAAATAAACCAGAATTTTGTTTTTCCGTCTTAATTTTGCATCAAGCCAGCAGCTCGTGAGCCACGTAATGAGCTAAGAGCTCCATTCGGTTTAACTACATCCAATCAAATGTCTTCCCTCCAAATCTTCACTGTCTTTATTTTAGGTGAGTTTATTTAAGCTTGAATGTGTTCCAGTACAATTTCGTTCCAGTATGAATTTCTTCCATTACCAGTTTGTTCCTGAATCAGTTTATCCAAATAAATATGAGTTTATTCTTGCTTGATTTTGTTCCAGTATGACTTTTTTTAATGAGTGAGTTCCAGCTTAGAGTTATTCCAGTGGCAGTATTTCCATTATGAGTTGTTCCCTAGTGAATTTACTCAAGTATGATGTTGTTTCAGTATGAGTTATACATACATCATACATACATCATCTAAACCGCTTATCCTTCTGGGTCGCGGTGGGGTGCTGGAGCCTATCCCAGCTGTCTTTGGGCGGAAGGCAGGACACAGTGTGAGTTTATTCCAGTGTGAGTTTATTTAAGCTTGATTTTGTTCCAGTGTGGGTTTATTTCTAAGTGAGTTTATTTCTAAGTGAGTTTATTTCTAAGTGAGTTTATTCTTGCCTGATTCCAGTGTGAGTGTATTTCAGTGCGAGGTTGTTTGAGCTAGAGGTTATTCCTAATTTATTTCCGTACTCGTTTATTCCTGAGCGAGTTTGTTCCAGTGGTAATGTATTCCTGAGTAAGGTGACCTGGGTTTTGTGTACGGCTCATACAGAAGCCTATATTTAGCTGATGGAGCAGAACGAGCACAAAGCTCCACGCAAAGCCGCTGAGAGCCAAAGTGAGGGTGACCTCACCGCACGAGTTTCCACAACTCGGGCAGCGCTGGTAATGCGAGAGCATGAAGATGAGCTCAACAGATCTGAGCGGTTTATGATCATATCTGAGGAACACGCTATCGCTCCCTTCACATGAATGTCACTGCCTTTAAACAGATCCCTAAAGACTGTGGGAGGCAAAATCAAAGCACAAATCAAAGCCTCAAATCGGGGGTCCTGAATGGAATATCAGAACGATGCTAAACGTTATGATGATCTGCTCGGAGCGAAGAAGAAAAGGAAAAGGAGAAGAAGCACAGAGAGGTGAAGCGGCTCTGGAAGGATGTTTGTGTTGGCGGATGAAGCACAAATACAGCAGAGCGCATTTATTCCTGACAGTGTGCAGGTTATCTCCCCGAGGGTATGGATGTGTTCTAAACAGCAGGGACCCCTCAGGGCCCTCTCTGGCCTAATGATTCCTGTATATTAGAAAAAAAACAGCTGGAATTTTTAGTTGATTTACATTTAATAAATCAGTCATGCTTGTTGTATTTAAACTGTAAGTTTTACAGTAATGCATTAATTTCATTGTTAAGTTTTGGTTGGCAACAAAAGAATTTAATGACTGAAAAAGAAAACGATAGAAATCAGGATTGTTTTTATGTGGTATGCATTTGGATACAGCCGAGCGAGCTCTCCAGTTGTATAGGTCAGGGGTCGGCAACACGCGGCTCTTTTACTGTCCTGTTGCTCCACAGCTGAATTAGATTAGTAGGTAAAAATAAAATAATCCTCCTTTACAGTAAAATAAAGCTCTGCTGGTCGTTCAACACAGTTTACAGTTTGCAACGAGAGACTGTCAAACACTAAAAAGTCAGGGAGCTGAAGTCGGTTTCTCGTTCGAATTCTCCCGTTCCACCTTAAATGGTGCAGCAGTTTAATTCTGGAACCTCAGGCATCATTTAAAGTGGAATGAGAAAATTCGCACAAGAAGCTGGCGAATGAGAAGCGACTTCAGCCTCATAAAGAGTCAAACTATTCTACTTTTGAGGAAAAGTTTCCTGCTGGAGATGCGAGAAAAGCAGCTATAGCTGAGCTAAAGCTTAAAGCAGAGCAAGTCTGCATTTTCGTTTATATTATATTTTAGTCTACACTAGAATATTAACACATACTGAGACATCTTTACAGCCAAGATGGTCAAATGGACATAAAATGTTGTGGCTCCCAAGTTGGTTTCATTTCTGTTGATAGAACTTCAGGAGCTGGACTGAAGGCCTTACACGTTCGATTAACTACCAAGATCACTAGAAAGTGACAGAGAAATCAACCAATCACGTGCTAATTTACAATAAAACATCACTCTAGTCTATCTGGAGGTTCTAGCTACATCACCGGCTGTGTATATGAATCTGAGCAGGTTCTGGTTAGTTATTAGGAATGTAAAACAGCAGCAGCTCTATGCAGGACTCTTTACTGAAAGAGTGACTGTAATCCTGATACACACAAGATCAGATATATGATAATGTCTGATACAAGTTTTAGATAAAACACATGGAATTACTTTTACAAGATTCAAAAATCGTGTTTAATCTAGAACAGCTAAAAAATGTCTATGTGAATCGCCGATAGCTTAGCTAACATACTAATAGAATCCCACAGAGGCGCTAGGAGAAATTAGCATTATTGTCAGGGTGTTTTTGTTTCGTCATGTTTGAGTGAGTTCAGACATTCATCAAGACCCAACTCTAACAGTCACGGTTCTCCACCGGTTCTATACGTGTTTTAAGCGTGTGCCTCTGCTTTCAGACTGTTTAGTGTGAATCTACAGTGATCAGGGATTTGTAACCGCGCTGTGCTGCACGGTCTGGTGGAGAAATGTACAGTCGTGTGCAAAAGTTTGAACACCCCCGGTCAAATTAAAGTGGTTTTGTTGATTTTCTCAGTAAAAATATGTTAACCTCTCCTCTACAGAGAGCACACTACTGCACATCTGAGTGCACAAATTCTATTTTTTTGCATTCAATATAATGGAAAGCATACATACAGCATAAAATGTGCCGTAATTTTTGCACAGGCCAGAATTTGTGCATTAAACCATGCATTAAAATGTGCAGAAGTGTGCTCTCTGTACAGGACGCGTTCACTTATTTACACCTAGAGAATCAATAATAACATGGAATTTGACCACAAGCTTTTGTACACAACAGTACTGAAGATGATGTGAAGGCTTATATTAATCTCCAAATGGGCTCAGCAAACTGTACTTAGTAAGAAATGATATCTAGCTCTCCATGTGACCCCAAGTATCTTTAAAAGGTCACTTTACAGAAGATGGAAAAAACATGTGCACATGTGATTTGTGACCAGAGGCGTGTAAACTTTTGCTTACAGCTGTATGTGAGTCTGTGTGTCTCACCTTGGCGGATGGGCAGGTGTTTGTGGTGCGTGACGGGGGTGATGAGGAACCGCGTTTCGGCCACGGGGCTCCAGTGGTGCAGCACTCTGACCGTCCACATGCCGGGCCGCAGGGGCAGGTTGAGCGGGGGTCTGTAGTGCGTGAACTCTGCGCTCGCGTCGATCAGGATGTCATAGGTGGCGGCGATGACGTTGGTGGGGTCGATCCACACCACGGTCACTGTCACGTTGGGCCCTTTACCCCACTTCTGCATCCCCACCGGCTCATCCGTCGGACCCATCAGATTCCCAAAGTTCCGGAAGATTCTCTCCTTAGCGTCCCAGTCCGTCCCAATCTGACGCAAGAGGTGGAAAGAAGAGAGAGAGCGAAGAGCATGAAGATCAGAGGCAGAAGGCGTGAAGACCCCCAGTGATCGGAGGGCCCGAATGATCTGACAGGCAAGACATGCTAGTCTGACTGTTCTTTTTATATATACAGCGCTGTGCAAAAGTCAGAGACCCTTCATTTCTAGTTAAAATGGCCATTAAGTACAAGATATATATTGTTCAGGAGGCGTTTCTGAGGAGAGCAGATGTGAGACCAGCCACTTGTGTAAAGAAGGAGAGAGTCAAAGGGAAAAATATTAAAAGCTACAGAGAAAATGAGACTCCTGACAACCACCTGGAAGACCTGGAAGCCCCTGAAACTGTCCCCATCAAAACTGCACATCTGAGACATGCAGTAAGGTTTTATGTGTGGAGCCCTGCTGGTGACATCCCGTATAAATAAAAATAACGCACGGCCACGACTTAGGAAGGTGTTCCCACTCCTTACTAAGCTTGACTTAATTATCTTGTTTCTGTGCCTTACTAAGTCGTGGCTATGCGTTATTTTTATTTATACAGGATGTCACCAGCAGGGCCCCGTATTTATAGACAAAAAATTTGCGATTGGGATTATTTGGATGGTGAGAAGCAGAAAATGCAAAACCAAATTCTAAGACTGAACTTTGGAGGTGTGTCTGCAGATTCTTTGAGGAACTGAAAGTGAGTCTCCTGGAAAGAATGGAGGCTGTAATAAAGGGAGAGAGTGACTCACTGAACACTGAACAGCTGAGGGTCAATTTAGTTGTTAAGGCTTCTGTGTAATTTTCTGACACTGGAAGCTTTTTTGACTGTAACCTTCTGGGGTCCACAAACTCGCCCGTGCATCAAATTCTCTGTTTCTATATCTGTGTCTGTATCTTTGTGATGATCCAGCTCAGAAATCCAGTTCAAACACTTCCTGAATCTGTAGAGTCGCCCTTTCCATTCCATCTTATCACGAGATCATACGAGACTCACATCCGGAGTTATGAGCCTATGAAGAGGGGCTGAGATACACGTCATCTGCCTCTCACCGTGTGGAACTGGTGGATTGGTGTGTCCGTCTACATTCTGTGTGAAACTGACCGATGGACACTCAGGAAATCACTAAGCACTGACCATCACACCGGAAACCCTTCATTCTTCATTCAGTCCACATCGGAGACTCATGTGAAACGGCGTGCAGAGAGTTTACAGCTGCTGAAGCTGCTGCAGCGGTTTTGGAAAGTAGTGATGAAGATAACGGAGCATTTAGATATGAAACATATGAGGATCATGATATATGAAGAGCCTTTAGAGGAGAGTTTAAGAAGAGATGAACAGATCCAGAGAGAATCACCTCAGACCACAGAGGGTTAAACACCTAAACCTAATCATGGCTAAAGCATACTGACATGGTGGACATTAAAAATGTGTAAGGAACATTTATATCTTACTTTTCATGACTCTTTGCATTGAAGCAGACGTTTAGCTTTTGTGGTAAAAGAGAAAACTGACAACAAGAAAGTTTTTTTTATTATTTTTTGGCTTTGGAAATGGGTAGAAAACATCTCTATCGGAAGAAGGGGTCTTTTACATCCCCTCACAGCTGGAGCTTCAAATTCAAACATCGGCACACTAATTAATTAATAAATAAATAAATAAATAAATAAATAAATTCCCATCACTCTCCAATGACCAAAGTGTCCAAACACTCTCAGTCGGCTGTAAGGGTGTTCTCTACGGCTGTAAATCTCTGACCTCATCAGTCCTCATTACGATTTTTTAGGAAATGATTCAACACATCATAAAATAGATTATTTTCATATGACTCAGTGTTCAGCTACACAGTGAGGTTCTGTTCATGTTTATATCTCACAGTACTTTAGACTGAGTCCTAAACCACATCCACACGTCTGCTCCACCTTAATGAAGGGCTGCAGGCAGTCTGAGCAAAATCTGGACACCAAATATTCAGATTTAGGTTTAGATTGAATGCAATTTGTTATTAAGCTGAATGTTACAAAAAAGATGATTCTTCAAGGGTTCTTTAGTAAACAGAATGGTTATATTTAGAACCAAGAGTTCTATATTTCATGCTTAAATGGTTCTCTGCGTGGTAAAATTGCCCTTCAGATGAAAAATGCACTGTATGTGGTTCTATATAGCACCAAAAGGGTTCTTCTACTGTGTACAAGCTAGACATCCTTTTTGGTGCTATATAGAACCATTTACAACACATTCTCATTTCACCATTTCACCATGCAAAACATCTACCATCTATTTAGAACCATGAGTTCTATATAGAACCATATGCATGCTTATATATATATATATATATATATATATATATATATATATATATATATGTATATATATATATATATATATATATTCTGTATTCTATATTCTACATATATATTTCTATATATGCATGCTTAAATGGCTCTATATAGAACTCATAGTTCTAAAAAGAACCATTCTGTTTACTAAATAACCCTTTAAGAACCATCTTTTTTTAAGACTGATGAGTATCAAAGCAAAACAAAGCATCTCTGAAAAGGAGCAGAATATAAACAATAAAAACAATAAACTTACAAACAAAAAGCTTATTTTGGATTTTTATGTTTAGAAATACTCTGAGATTTTTATTTTCACCAAAAAATGAAAGTAAACTTTATTTAATATTGTTATATTTGACTATAAGTACTTCCAGTATTCCAAAACTGACTCCGCTGTATCGCCACCTTCAACTCGATGCCTCATTTTTTACACTTCTAGTATTTTCGTTACCATAGAGTAACTTTGTTTGCTCACAGTTAAACGCCCTTCTGAGAACGGCTCTGAATCAGACTGTGGGGCGTGATCCTAAACCGGAGTATTAGATCAGCTATAACAGTGACAGTAAACTAAATCTGTTGATTTATGAGTGTACTTGGCTTGTGGTTTGGAAGATTTAGAGCCAATGCCAATCACACACAGTCTGTCATACAAATCTCCAACATGGTTCTTTAGGGAACCAGAAGTGGTTCTTTTTCTTTTATAAAGTCATCTGTCAGCTTATGAAGTTAGATAATCTGAATTTACTTAATAATTTAAATTCCTTCTTGAAACAAGCCTAAAATCATCTTACTCCAAAAAATTACTCAAAATATGTAAAAATATCTATATTCAAATCAAACTGTTATAATATTCATACAGCAACCTCATAATGAGAGATATTTAATACGGTACAGTGCAAAAGTCAGTTTTAAGCACAAGTCCTTTGAGGTTCAGCAACAGAGCAGAAAATTAGAAAAAACATATGTAACTTAAAATTACCCAGAAGCCTCCGCAGCTAAATCTGCTCTCAGCTGTGTGAGTCAGTGAGTCTCTCTTCACCTTTATTCCAGCTTCCATTCTGTTCAGGAGACTCACTTTCAGTTCCTCAAAGAATCTGCAGACACACCTCCAAAGTTCAGTCTTAGAAGCTGGTTGATGATTTTCTGAAGTAATCAAACACATTCGGTGGTGCTGAGGTCTGGACTCTGGGGTGGTCAGTCCATTGTTCAGCTTCTTTGTTTGATGTTTGTCTCCTTTTCTCAGCCGTTTTGGTGTCGACCAGCTCTTCCAGGTGGTTGTTAGGAGCCCCATTTTCTCTGTAGCTTTTAATCAGTTTTTGAACTCCAGTTTTCAAAGAACCCTTTGTGGCAGAGTACAGTTGAAATTTGGTACAGAACGATACAGATGGTTTCAGTACTGAAGGTACTTCAGTTGAATACTCAGCCTTAACTGGGGGCTCAAGAACACAAAACCTTTTCTCTATGGCCCACAGAAGAACCCAAAGAACTTAAACACAAAATACAGTGGGTTGAACTTTTTTACTTGTTCTAAGTGATTTTAGTCAATGAAATGATCTCACTACATTGGTAGATAATGTTTGTTTTAAGCACAAGCTAAATTACCTGACAATATAGTGAGACAATTTGACTTAAAAATCAACTAAAACAAGTAAAAATGTCTAGAAATAAGTTTGTTAATCTTATTTAGCCTCAAAATTGACTGAATTTAAGATCATTTCACTTGACAAGATCCCACTGTTGCAGTGAAGAAACTCCTCATGATGTAAAGGTTCGACACCAATTAAAGGTTTTTCCTTGAACCGTATAACCAAGCCAAGAACCATTGAGGAAGCATTTTTAAGAGCGTACCCTTGTTAACAAAATCCTGAACAACTGTTGCAGCTGGCAGGCCTTCATACAACCAATCAGCACTGAGTCTCAGCAGGTTTCTGTTCAAACACAATAACACCGTTTGTTTAAACAGCGTCTTTAGCGATCTGGGCAAAAACACTGTATTACAGCTTATATTACAAAGCTGGATCAGCTCAGACTCCCCAGACAGAGGTGGAACATCTGGACACATGCAACACACACGCTCTCTTACGCACTAAACCACCAAACCACCATCAGTCCTTCAGCTCTGCTCCAACATGAAGCTTTCTGCTGGAACTCAGTCTGGAGAACATGACAAGAGAAAAGGACGTCGAATGCAAACACTGCAAAAAATGGCATCACGTCAAGTAAAATTATCTTAATAATAGTCGATACATCTAATATTTCTCCTCCTGAGATTGTTAGAAGCTTATTTTAAGATTATTTACCTCACTTTCAGATATTTATACTTGTTTTAAGTGATTTTATTAAAAAATAAATTCTCATGATATTGAAACCAGCAATTATCTGCCAGTATAGTGAGATAATTTCACTTGATAAAATCACTTAAAACAAGTGAAAAGTGTCTAGAAATGAGCTAGATAATCTTATAATAAGCACAACCATCTCGAAATGGAAAATATTAGACGTCGACTAGATTTAAGATCATTTCACTTTACAAGATCCCATCTTCGCCGTGAAAAAGGACGAGCTTGATAAACGTAGCAAATCTATTGTAAAGAAAATAGTTCTATTTAGAACCTTATGTTCTATAACCATTTGTATGCTTAAGTGGTTCTTTGCATGGTGAAATGGTTCTTCAGATTGATGGGGAATGTGGTGTACATCACCATGAGCTTGATATAGTAATAATAGAAGAACCTTTTGGTGCTATACAGAACCATTCTCCAAAAGGGCCTATATAGAACCATACACAACATATTCTCCATCAATCTGAAGAACCATTTCACCATGCAAATGAACCATTTAAGCATGCAAAGTGTTCTATATAAAATTCAAGGCTCTAAATAGAACCACTTCCTTTACTAGAGAACCTTTGAAGAACCATCTTTTTAAGTGTGTACAAGATGTTTTCATTTGCCAAGATGGCACCGAGCGGGTACCAGTCGAGCTGAACGAAACCACGTCAAACCGCATCAAAGCTGCGTCAGACCCGGCGCATGTGTATTTGTGGCAGCGGGGGAGGTGGGTAGGAGGCCGGGAGTTATCCAGTGCCAGTGCCCGGAGGCAGCTCTCCCTCTCCTACACGAGATGACAGCCCCCCGTCCCCCCTCTGCCCTCCTCTCTCTCCCTGCGCACCAGATGAAGTGGTTTACAGCTTGGCGCGGTGGCCTCAGGCGCTGGCCACTCCGCTGCTCATGGGTAATGATGCCCAGGTGCGGTGGGCCTGTTTTACTCTGACCCTCTTATTTACAAAGCTAGAACATCAGCGTGTTCTGACAGGACATCCTGTGAATATGAAATATGCCGTTATAAGTTTTAGATATATTCCAAAATGTAAATAGATTATATTTTAATACATTTTCAGTTATGGTTTTTCATCTTGATTCATTAGCGATACATTTTTGATACCTTCCTTTAAACTACGGCACTATCGATATATTGATTGGCTGGTTATGTCGGCTGATATTGACGACTCACTGTTCCACTGTGGAACCTTCCACTGCCCCGTTTCACTTTATGACAGTCATTCATAATGAACTGAAGAATCTGAACACACAACACCACCAACACACACATCAGAATGACGTATAAAAAATCAAATGCACGAAGAACTGTCATTTAAGTTTGTGAGGTTCTGTGAGGTTAAGAGTCGGTCAGTTAAGCACTGTTCTGCTAAAATTATTGGAATACAAAATTAAAATATAAACTGTAAATATGAAATTAACAGACATTATCAGTGATCAGAATTTTTAGCATCTTAAAATCGGTATCACTATCATGTCCACGCTGTCAATATCTGACAGGCCCTACTTTAAATACTATATCTCGTCCGTGTTGGGACAAAACCTCATATCTCCAATTCTGTTTTTCATTTTTTGACATAATTTAAAAAAAGGCAGTTGCCCTTTATGTTGTGTACAAATTTAATGATGAATAAACCAAAAGAAATGGTCCAAAATTAAGTGGGGAAAAAAATTCTACGTTTATTTCCATTAAAAGTTAAGAACGTTTGTCCTTCAAGTTACCTTTTTCGAGATATACAGACAAATATATACATATTTGTTTCGAGACAAATATATATATACACATATATATATATATGTGTGTGTGTGTGTGTGTGTGTGTGTGTGTGTGTCTTTTATGAGTGTTAGATCATTTAGTCAATTTTAAGAACAATTGCCTTTATTAGACAGTAGCTCCTCTTACTTCACTGATTCTAAACTTTAGATTCTGAAGTTAATAAAATGTGATAAATTCTGATTTTTCTCCGAGTATGCAGCGGAACATTTGGAGTCTTAGATTTCTAGCAGCAACACCCTGAAAAACACTATTGATTTTCCAGAATAGCTTATTGTTTCAGCCCTAAGAGAGCCTGTAAACAACAACAACAACAACAACAGCTGTTATTCAGTGATAACTCAAACAGAGCAGATCGAAATGCTGTGAACTGGACACCAAAACTTAAACCAACACTTTATTCACAGTTTACAGTATTTTGGGACCAATATAAAGTTAGAACATGGTAAAAAAAATTGAAGAGTTATTAAACAATAAGCTATAATTTTCTGTTTACTGTAAAAACTCTTTTTTTGGTTGTCGGTTCTCAAATATGAGGCATTGTGGGTGTCAGTTTCTTTATCAGTTCATTCTCAATGCTGTACAGATTTATCAGTTATCATAGAATCACTTACAGCTCAGTTTATAATCAAAACACCTTCATTATTACAGCTTCATACAGACTGACTGAAACTTTTAAGAAATTAGTTTCATCATAGGATCATTTTATACTCACATCTTCAGAGAAACTGGTTTATATGAATGAAATCAGACCCCAAACTTTTGAGTGCTTATAAAATCAACAAACTCAAACTTCTGCTCCCGACTGTATAGACCGCTCTGATGTCTGAACAGCTCTTGCGGCAGAAACTGAACCCAGTGTTTGTACATCTTTACAGCTAGAGGGCCACGTTAAGAGGACCCCTTGTTTCCTGCGTCTCCGTACGTTATTCTACATCACAGCGCGCGTCCCCCTCCTCCGCTCTCGTCCCGCAGCAGATAAACCTGGTGCAGCAAAGCGTGCAGTCATTATTTTATCCCCCCGCACTCCGGCAGACAAATCACTGATTACGCCAAAGGGCAAGATGACAGGTACGGCGCTGGCTGACAGCTAAATCAATGAAGAACGTCTGAATTATTGGTTGTTTAACGGAGTATGTCAGGCAGAATGTGCAGCAGAGTAAGATTACCAATAATATTCGGAGGTCAATTTCCCCTCGCCGTGCGCGCCGCGAGAGCTCCTGCGCGAATATACTGCCAGAACACTTTTACTGCAGCGAGCAGGACAAAGCGAGCATTGTTCTCCCACATTTGTTTTTTTTTAATCAACTGAACCGGCCTGTTTACAACAACCACTTCTCCAGCGTCCAGGAGCCGAGCGCAAACGAGCTGCACTAACGTCGCCCGACTTATACGTTCTGCTGTTCAGAGCGCTGTCAGCGCTGTGACGGAGAACCACAACAGCTGCCTGCTCAGAACAGCGAGCAGGAACCACTGCGAAGACGAGCTGATCTCCACGTTAAACACATTCTGTTAGGTATGTAGTGGAACGCCTGCAGTCATATGCAAATTCCATGTTTTGGTTGATTCTCTATGTGTGAATAAGTTAACATCCTCTACAGGGAACACGATGCACATTTTAATGCACAGTTACTGTTACTATATATATATTATGTTTTATTTTGTTGCCCTGTATGTTAAACGCAAATAAACAGAAATTGCAGAAAAATTGCATATTTACTTAGCAACCACCTAGGATACCATAGCAACGGCCTAGCAACATCCTAGCAATCACCTGGTATACCATAGCAACAGCCTAGCAACATCCTAGCAATAACCTGGGATGCCATAGCAATGGCCTCGCAACACCTTAGCAACCACTTGGGATACCACAGCAATGGCCTAGCAATACCTTAGCAACCACCTGGGATACCATAGCAACGGCCTAGCAACCACCTGGAATACCACAGCAATCCTTATGCTTTTTATAGTCAGCTTTAAAATGTATTTTAAAAAAAGGAAAGAAGCTTTTTACAGATTATGTTCAGCAATATAACTAGTACAGTTACCATTACTGCTCATTGTCATGTTTGATATCATGATGGTTCATTACAGTAAAAGCCACATTTAGCATCAGAAGCTTCCACAAAATCAGACATAATGACATCTGTCACTGCAATTAGCAGTAATGATGACTAACTGAACTAATGAAAGCATATGACATCTGCTATGACCTGTCTATGACACGGTTATGTCACTGTTCTGAAGCAGGCCTCATGTAAAGATGTGAAGAGATATCATGATGTTCTATTTTTGCCAAATTCACATGAACATCATATAATCGCCTCCAGGCCTCCAGACGAGCCCAAAGCTCTCTTACCTCCGCAAGCTGCAGCCTGTTGAAGCTGTTTGGCGGGTTGGTGAATTTGAAGAACTTCTTGGGCATCACCCAGGTCTCCAGAGTCTCCAGCTTGCTGGTGGCCAGGTTGGTGGCGTGATGTCTAACCAGGTAGCCCTGAAACTCGTCAGACAGGAAGTAGATATGGACAGACACGGGGTGGCCCATGGCAAAGTACCTGAGGGGAGACAAACGACCAGCGTCATCTCAGATTCGGAGGAGACCCTGCTGGCCTCACGGGGAATGTGAAAACTGACCGGTGATCAGAAACTTCCTGGCTTTATTCACTCATTAAGAGGAACCAACAAGCTACGAACAAACTCTGAGCTCGGACGTGAAAGAAGGTGTTAGTATTAGTGTGCACGCTTTCTAAACCTGCCTTTGGTTTGTTTGTAAAACTTAGGCTTTGGCGCCCCCTCTGTTTCAGATGGAAACTGTTCTAGATATCATTGCCGTCAAAAGTAAAAATGTATGTCCATTTTTTCCCAATTTTCTACGATGAACTTTCTACGTCATTTGAACAGCTTTTCTTTACATTGTGTGAAAATTTCATAAAGAAATCAAAATCACATTTCAAATCAAATCACACTATTTGGAATCAAATCTCTTTACATTAACATGCATTAAAAGTTAATGTTTTTGCTTTTGCCTGTAAAGTAACTATTTTGCAGATGTGTATTTTTACAGCGACACTGTACCGACCGTAACTGTAAAATATATTTGGTTTTAATATGAAAACATCAAATATATCAAAGTAAATCCCATGAATCAAACACAAGGCCTGTGGGGCAGATCAGGGCTGCCACACGATCCTATCCGGCCCGCAGAAGTATTTTAATTTTCTACTAATATTAGCCTGTTTCACAGCGCACTGCACTACAGTCCCCAGCATGATGCTCTGACTCTCCTAATCCAAAAACAGTCTATGGGACAGCGGTTAAACCTCAATTCCACACAGTTCCACACCAGCTATATCACCAAACACACTAACTGCAGTTCAGCCAATATAAACACTGAACGTAGCTCAGCAGCTCAGAAACTGAGCCCAAGTCTTAAGGAACCTGCAGTAAGAAAAGATGCCAGAGGACTAATTCAAGCAGACAGGTAGGTTTAAAATATCGAGCAAATGACCCGGGGACATTTCAATTTTAAATATTTCAATTATTCATGTAATATTTCAAGGTCTACTACAATACATTTTACAGTTAAATTTTGAATAAACAATGGTCAGTTCAGTTCATAGCAAAATGTTATTAAATATGAAATAAAACACAGCCGTTTTCTGGCTCACGGATTTGTTGAGATTTTTTAATGTGGCCCTTTTACTGGTTGAGTTTGACACCCCTGAAGTAAATGATGCTCAAATGACATTTAAGCCTAAAATCATTTAAATTTAGCTCCTATATTTCACAAAATCACAGATTTGTTTCTACTTTCATATTTCTAATGAAGCCTGTTGTCAAAAATATCATATTTTGGTTCTGCTAATGATAAACTACATGCTGCTGTCTACGCTACTAGGGCTGAACAATTTGGGGAAAATGACAATTTTTATGACTGATATTGTGATTGCTATTTAAATGTCTCCTGTCTCTGGGGTGGTTTCCTCAAGGCTCCATCTCAGTACCTTTAGTCAGGGAACATAACTGAACCATAATCCACTGAATGATATGTTCTAAGCTGTACTGACTCCACACACCCCGTCTCGTCTCCAGGCTTTTATTTTACTGTTCTGTTTAAAACATTCGGTTATGAAAAGGTACAAATACGAACTTTTCACCTGGAAAAACTTATTTAAGGTTCACAATCAGACCTTAAAACCACTGTTGGAGCTTTGAGGGAACATTTACACTGTTTGTACCTTGATGAACAGAAATGTTCCTGAACAGAACCTTTATTTAACAGTGTAAAGTCGCTGATAATCTTGTTGCGTCAACCTTTATGGAAGAGCTTTTTTCCTTCTTTTATAAAGAAATCCTAAGTTTTGTGAGTGTTGAGCTGAGCAGGAGGAGGCGGAGCTGCAGGAGAGGAGATGCTGAGGGGAGCGAGTCTGAAGCCCCACCCAGAGCTCATCAGTATTCCAGCTGGGGCTGAAAGAGCTCCACAGCCCCCCCGACAAGCAGAACAGCAAATATTTACAGCGGCGCTGCCCTCCGGGAGGCGTCCTGCACGCGGGCATTAACAGAGGCTCTATTCATTCACCTCACCTCCCTCTCTCACCGCTGATGTCACAGCGCACCGCCGAAAACAGAACGCTCCCTCTCTCCCACACGCCCTCCACCCCAGCAACAAACAGCTCCTTGTGCCCTCCAACACCCCCCAGCCCGACTCCCCCTCCGCCCCCATCACCTCTGCTCACAGGCCTTCCTCCTGAAACTGACTCAGGCCTGTGTGGAGTCTGAATGCAGCCCCGCTCACCAACACAAACGCCGCTGTGCTGACCTCCCCGGGGAACCTGCGGTCGGCTGTGTGTTGATTCCGGCCTGAAAGGTTCTGCCTGATTCACTCTGACATCCGATTTGATTTGGTTATTTCGAAAGATTGAAGATCACCAGCAAAGTGTGTGTGACTGATTATACTGGCTTTCTTTAGTCATTATTTTTGTCCACTTGTGGTCATTCATTTATTAATCCACCTGTGTATTTTTACCCAATTTAATGCGGTCTGAATACAGCAGGGCAGCTTTTAGCTCTGGATGTGAGCTGTTCTTCTAGATCTTTAGAGTTGGATAGTACAGCTCTGGACGTGAGCTGTTCTAGATCCTTAGATTTGGACTGTGTAGCTCTGGGTGTGTGTTCTTCTAGATCTTGCACAGGATTGTACAGCTTTGGTTAGGGGCTGTTCTTATAGATGGTTTTAGCTGGACTGTACCACTCTAGATGTGAGCTGTTCTTCTAGACCAGGGGTCGGCAACATGCAACATAATTAAGCAGGGCAGCTTTTAGTGCTCCATTAACGTGGAACAACCTGCAGATATGTTTGAAATTGGAGCCGTTCAACTCTCTTCCTAAGGTATTGTTAAAGATTTAGTTAGTTCACTGCAAAAAATGTGATCTTGTCAAGTGAAATTATTTAAAATCTAGTTGATATATATATAATATTTCCCATTATTTCCCATCTCACTATACTGGAAGATAATCTTGCTGGTTTCAAGCTCATTTCTCAAAACAAGCAAACTTATATGCCAATCTAGTGAGATAATTTTACTTAATAAAATCACTTAAAACAAGTAAAAAATGTCTTAAAATAAGGTAAATAATCTTAAATTAAGCTTACAATAAATTTATTGACTGTTTAACATAATTTTACTTGATAAGACACCATTTTCTGCAGTGTTTGCTCTTGTTATTGATTGACGCAGCGATATTGTAAGTTAGTTTTGTTTTATTATTTCTTGGCTTCGGCTCTCTTGCTAAAGAGATCTTAGTCTCAGTCTGAGTCCTCGGGTTAAACCACTGTTAAACAGATAAATTAATCAATGAAAAATTCCAGTAGTAATGAAGATGTTCTAACATCTACAGATGGCAGCAGCTGTGTTTGGTTTGCGGTTTGCTACACATTCACCATGATGGAGATACGAGCAGAGGTGATAAAAGCTTTACTCATTGACATCTAGTTGCAGTATTGTGATGCACTGTGAAATATTGATTATCATACTGTAAGCCAGGCTTAGTTTGAGCACGTTTTTCACTTCATTCTCATTTCTTCCACATCACAAACTACGGTTCGATCAATCAGGTCCATTAGGCTGCCTTTACAAGGACGGTTTGCTTTCCATCCAAACAACACATGCAAGGGGCTGTTATAGATCTGTAGAGTTAGACTGTGCAGCTCTGAATCTGAGCTGTTTTTCTAGATCTCTATAGTTGGACTGTACTGCTCTTGATGCGAGCAGTTCTAGATATTTAGAGTTAAGACTGTGCAGCTCTGGATGTGATCTGTTAGAACTGGACTGGGCAGCTCTGCATGCAAGACGCTTCGAGATCTTTGGACTGTGCTGCTCCTGAAGTGAGCTGTTTTAGCAGAACTTCAGAGTTGGATTTAGAAGCTCTAGTCAAAAACTGTTCTAGATCTTTGGACTGTGCAGCTCTGGTTGTGAGCTGTTTGTCTAGGTATATAGATTGTGAAGCACTGGATGCTTTTCTTCTAGATCTTTGGAGATGGACTGTACAGCTCTAGATGTGAGCAGTTCAAGATATTAGAGCTGGACTGTGCAACTCTGCATGTGAGCTGTTCTTCTAGATCTTTGGAGCTGGGTTGTACAGGCTTGGATAGGGCCTGTTCTTATAGATCTTTATAGTTGGACTACACAGCTCTAGATTTGAGCTGTTCTTAAAGATCTTTTGATTTGAACTGTACTGCTCTGGATGTGATCTGTTATTCTAGATCTTTGGAGCTGGGTTGTATAGCTTTGGATATGGGCTGTTCTTACAGATGTTCAGAGTTGGACTGTACAGCTGTAGATGTGAGATATGTGAGGTATAAGGTCCAGAACAGTACTGACCTGCAGCGATTGTCGCTGGAGTCGCCCTGCAGCGAGCTGGTGGCCCGGGTCAGGCCGAGGCGGGCGAAAGCGTGGAAATGTGTGAGGAGGGCGTCGCTCAGGCTGTGGACGCCGTCGGCCTCGTCGTACACGTTCTCCCAGTAAGAGCTGAGGCCCGGCGTGCCCTGAGGGAGGCTGCCGAAGAGGAAGGAGTCCAGCTGGTTCACGATCTCCTGATTCACGCTGGCCTCAAACTTCCGCGCAAAGAACGTGGGCCTGGTCGTTTGCTGTGAGGGAGACAAAAAAGAGACAGATGAAGACGAGGAGGATGAAGACGGATGCTGACAGACAGGTGGTTCTCTGAGGCTTCAGAGGAACAGAAAAGAGAGAGAGACAGAGACGGGGGGACGAGATAGAAAGCGGAAACTGAAAAGAGAAGCACACCATCCGGTGGGATAAGAAAAAAACACACAGCAGAGCCAGAGACAGAAACAGACCCCCTTTTTCTCGGGAGATGTAATCGACGGTAAAAATAAAAATCAAAGTGGAGCTGTCTCTGCCAGAACGCTCGGCTCGCCTTCTGCTCACTTCAGTCGACACACATCAACCCGGCCTATCCGCAGACGCAGCCCGCTAACGCCGAGCGGATAAAGGAGGAGGAGGACGTTTGTGAGGAAGCCAGAACGCTCAAAGAGGGGGAAAAATCATCCGTGCTTGAAATAGTTTCGGAAAACGACAGCAGACCCCCAGTCGCTTATTTATTTATTTATTTCCCTGCACAGAAAACATTTTTTGGAAAGATGGAAAAGTGAAAACAAAGGAGATTTTACACCCAGAGGCTGCGATTAGATTTTTCCCCCAAAGCAGAGACGGAGTTGGATCGAGGGGGGAGGGCGAGAGAAAAGGAGTCAGAGAGAGAGAGAAATAATAAGGTGATTTAGAGCGGCGTGTCCAGGAAGTTCTTTCAGCATTCTCTCTTTCGAGGCTCCAGGCTGAGAGCGGCTTGTCAACAAACTGAAACTGCCACAACGCATTTCAAGCCTCCGTCGCTCGGCCCTTTGTCTACTTTCTTTCGCGGGCCGCTGCGAAAAAACGAGCATTGTCACAGGGTAATTACTCAATACCCGCAACTTCGCCCAGGCCTTCGGTCTTAATGGCCTGCGAACGCTCTCAGGCCCCTCCCCGCACTTCTTTCTCTCTTTCACGCTCTCTTTCCCAGCATAGACTTCAAATGGTTAACCCCCAGAAGTCTAGAGCTTCTTGTGTTTTAGGACCACTTACAATATTTCTGTTGTTTTAAACAAACCAACAGAAACAGCCACACGCTGCATTCGTATCACCAGCCTCAATTTCTGCCCCTTCTAACTTGATGGTTCACACTTTTCATAGATAAGTGACCCAAATCTGTCACTAAAGGGAAATTCCACCAATTTTTAAAACATTTTCTCCATAATTCAACCTTTAAGGTGTAAGCAGAGTCGTTCAGAGTGGTTTGGTGTGAAACGCTCCGTTCTAGAGTCAGAACTGTTCACAGTGGTGGTGATAGGAACCAGACGTCCACCTCTAAAAGCTCCCTCACAGAAAGTTACTACATGAAATGGTTATGAATTCACTGCCTGATGACTGAGACACTGTTTTATGATAGTTTTGGGAAGATTTGGGCCTTGAAATCCATTCATGGTAGAGGGGTACATAATATTCAGGGCGCTGTGAGGCAAAATAGTCCCCAAAGAAAACTTATTATTTCAGATTTTCCACTATTTTCCATCATCAACATTCCATATAAACTCAGAAGACTTGTGTAGGTTCACTGGTGGTTTTGGATAGTAAATAAAATGTCTATATTTGTGTTGTAGTCATGGCGACCCCTGGTTCCTATCACCACCACTGTAAAGACATCTGTACCATCTCACACCAAACCACTCTGCTTACATCTCACACACTCAGTTATACAGGAATTATGAAAAATCGGTGCTACTGACCATTAATGCGAACGAGCCTGCATACTGAAATTACCCTTATGAGGACATCCTAATTAATAACCTCACACAAACGAACCCCATACGTCATTAATGACAAACTAACCAGCAGAACGAGGCTTCATCGCTCTGAGCAGCTCTGATTAGAGAGAGAAAGGCGATAAACTGCCACTGATAAACTGGTTTACTGGCACTGACTTCAAAATCAGCACAAATCGGATATGTATCCGATCTAGGACCACATCTGAAAGTGGCTCAGATCTGATTTGAAAAGATCAAAATTAGATTTGTGCCACTTGTTTACATATATCGGTCTTAAGGTGCTGCAACAACAGCAAGTTGTTTAATTGTAAGAAATAAAGAGAGGAAACCGATCAGGTAAAAATGATTTATGACTACTCAGTCTGGGTGAAGCCATAAATCATTTTTACATGATCAGTCTCCTCTCTTTATTCCTTACAATTAAACAACTTGCTGTTGTTGCAGCACCTTAAGACCGATATATGTAAACAAGCTCTGTTCTGATTGGCCGCGCCTCAAAAGGCAGTCTGGGCCGAAACCCTTCTTATAACCTTAGTGTGAGTGGGTGGGGCTAAACTGCTATAGGATACACAGGTGGATAAATGTAAATGTGTTTGTTTTTGTGACATCACAAAAACAGCAAATTCAACCCAGGCTGTTTTTGCTGCTTTGTGTTCATGTAGGGGCTGCATGAGCCAGGAAAAGTGAGGGAAATCAGTTTTTCCATGATATGGGCACAGTGTCCTATATTGGCCTACATAATGGACAGTCACTAAGGACTGACCATCTCGCCGGAAACCCTTCATTCTTCATTCAGTCCACATGCAAGGAAAGAAACGGCGTGCAGAGAGTTTACAGCTGCTGAAGCTGCTGCAGCGGTTTTGGAAAGTAGTGATGAAGATAACGGAGCATTTAGATATGAAACATATAAGGATCATGATATATGAAGAGCCTTTAGAGGAGAGTTTAAGAAGAGATGAACAGATCGAGACCCCGGAGAGTTTAGGGAGACATCTTTGGAATGAATCTGTTTTCCGCAGGTTTGTTTCAGCTGTAGCCCTGCTTTGAAAGTCGTTCGCCCCTAAAACAGGAGATTTTGATATGTTATTTTGAATGGTGCTCAAACAGCCCTTTCCTGTTAAAGCAGGCGGTTCTGTCAAAGTTTAGGATCTGCACTTTCCACTGGACTCAATGAGCTGTTGGTGATAAATGATCATGAGAAACTAAGTGGCTTCTAAGGGTTGAGTGAGTCTGTTTGGTGCTGCGAGTGAATCTGAGTTGTATTTAGAAAAGCTTAAAAAGTGGTGGTTATTCTGAAGGGCTGGGTTTTCCTCTTTTTATGTCTTATTATGAGCAACTCATCCTACACTGCACGCACACACACACACACACACACACACTCACACACACACACACTCACACACCCATTCAGAAAAGGAAACACTAATTACGCGTGCAGCTCGAGGCTCCAGCCCAAATACCTCAGCATGTTATTTCCCTTTGGTCTAATGTGATTCTGACTTTAATCACTGTGAACCGCAGCGTCCCTGCAAACTTCATTTAGGACCTGTCAGTCCTCACGCTCCGCAGCAAAGCCACGTCCCCGTCGGCCTCTACGGGACCAAGCCGGTTTAGTGTGGGGGGGGCTTACGGTGATGATGTCATGGGCTGGAGCACAGACTCACTGTACCAGGGTTAGGGCTGCTCAGAGACAGAGAGAGAGAGAGAGAGAGAGAGAGAGAGAGAGAGAGAGAGAGAGAGTACATGACATATTAAGAAAGAGAAAAAGAAACAGCGTGAGAGAATGAGAGAAAGCGTAAGAGAGAGAAACAGTGAGAGAGAGAAAAGAAAAAGAGGCAAAGAGCAAAAGGTGAGTGAAAGAAAGTAAAGCACATGAGAGAGAGAGAGAGAAAGACAGATACAGAGAGAGACAAAGACAGGGAAAGAGAGAGAGAAAGATACAAAGAGAAAGAGAAAAAAGAGATACAGAAAGAGAGAGAGAGAAGGGGAGAGAAATACAGAAAGAGAGAGAAATAAATATGAAAAAAGAGAGAGACGGAGAGAGAGAAGGTGAGGTGAGAGATAGAGAGGGATACAGAAAGAGAGAGAGAGAGAGAGAGAGAAAGCATTACAGAGGAGAGATACAGAGACAGAAAGAGACATACAGGGAGAGAAAGAGAGAAAGAGACAGAGAGAGAAGGGGAAGGGGAGAGAGGGATAAAAAGAAAGAGATGCGGAGAGAGAGAAAGAGGGAGGAAGAGGGGTAGAGAGAGGGGAGAGAAATACAGAAAGAGAGAGAGAAATAGAGAGATATATAAAAAGAGAGAGAAGGAGTGAGAGACAGATACAGAAAGAGAGAGAGAGACAGAGAGAGATATAAAAAGAGAGAGGCAAAGAGAAGGAGAGGGGAGAGAGAGAGGGATACAGAGAGAGAGAGACACAGACATGGAGAGAAAGAGAGAGACAGAGACAGAAAGAAAAAGAGAGAGAAAAAGAGCTACAAAGAGAGGAAAAAGATAGAGATACCGAAAGAGAGAGACAGAGTGAGGGGGGAGAGAGAGGGAGAGAGAGAAAGAGAGACAGAGAGAGAGAGAGCGAGAGAGTCAGAGAGAGAGAGTCGGGTCTGTGTGCTGTGCTGGTGGAGAGCGTGGCGCGTGGCCCAGTGTAACTCTGCTAACTTGCAGTTCTATTCTGAGGACGGCAGCGGAGGATGGAAACAGGGGCAGCAGCCAGCTATTACAGGGCAGGGCTGTGGGAAATGACCGGGTCTGGAGCTCCAGCACAGATTCTCCAGCACTGCAGAGATGCTCACGAGCCGATTCAGGAGTCCAAATCAAGTCTCGAGTCTTGTTTAGTCTTTTGTAATTTCGTTTAGTCCGGTTATCAGCTGCAGGCTTTACATCGTACACAAGTAAAGGCACTAAACACCTGATTAAAAACGGCCTTAAATCACTTTCATTACAGAAGAGCCCTCAGATGGACGGGACTGAAGCGCTACTCGGGTACAACGATATATCATAAGGTATATCATATTTAAAAATGACGACAGGATTTAAAAATGATGATGTTTCTATTCCACATCTGAACAGACAAATAAACACATTCCACCTGTTTATATTTTAGAGGGTCAGTGATTGGTGGTGTGTGAAGTCACAGATCACAGGTGGCGCTAAAGAAGGAAAATCAGAGGCAGCACAGTGACGACTTAGAGCTCTGTGATATAAACTCAGTCCAAATGTAGGTATTGTGATATAAACCGAGTCTGTTCTACAGTTTCTCATTAGGCTGAATGAATAACTGACTCTAAATGTAGGTATTGTGATATAAACCGAGTCTGTTCTACAGTTTCTCGTTAGGCTGAATGAATAACTGACTCTAAATGTAGGTATTGTGATATAAACCGAGTCTGTTCTACAGTTTCTCGTTAGGCTGAATGAATAACCGACTCTAAATGTAGGTATTGTGATATAAACTGAGTCTGTTCTACAGTTTCTCGTTAGGCTGAATGAATAACCGACTCTAAATGTAGGTATTGTGATATAAACTGAGTCTGTTCTACAGTTTCTCGTTAGGCTGAATGAATAACTGACTCTAAATGTAGGTATTGTGATATAAACTGAGTCTGTTCTACAGTTTCTCGTTAGGCTGAATGAATAACTGACTCTAAATGTAGGTATTGTGATATAAACTGAGTCTGTTCTACAGTTTCTCGTTAGGCTGAATGAATAACTGACTCTAAATGTATGTATTGTGATATAAACCGAGTCTGTTCTACAGTTTCTCGTTAGGCTGAATGAATAACTGACTCTAAATGTATGTATTGTGATATAAACCGAGTCTGTTCTACAGTTTCTCGTTAGGCTGAATGAATAACTGACTCTAAATGTAGGTATTGTGATATAAACCGAGTCTGTTCTACAGTTTCTCGTTAGGCTGAATGAATAACCGACTCTAAATGTAGGTATTGTGATATAAACCGAGTCTGTTCTACAGTTTCTCGTTAGGCTGAATGAATAACCGACTCTAAATGTAGGTATTGTGATATAAACTGAGTCTGTTCTACAGTTTCTCGTTAGGCTGAATGAATAACTGACTCTAAATGTAGGTATTGTGATATAAACTGAGTCTGTTCTACAGTTTCTCATTAGGCTGAATGAGTAACCGACTCTAAATGCAGGTATTGTGATATAAACTGAGCTGTAGAGTATTAAGAATTAAGCTATAATAACATTATCATACACAATTCCAAAAGTGGTGGCAGATTTTTATAAATAGACAAATACAATATATTATTTTTCAATCGAAAGTTTCTTGTTGATCCCAAAATACTTGAAATTTTGAACAAAACAAATTAAAATACACACTGGCAGCTAGTTTATAGCATTTAAATCTATTTTGTTTATTCTATTGAACACAAAACGAAAGGCTAGGTTGTGAATGACTGTAAGTATTAATGTAAACGTTAAGGAGTCTGGGTGCTGTAGTGCCACACCGCTATTGGAATCCTTTCGATGAAAGGCCGCCTTAGCGATTGATCTGGGCCGGCCCCGTCCGTTTGGCCACAGTTAATTACAGATTGCCATGCGCGGGGCTAAGTTAGAGCAGCTTCTCTTCTCGTTAAGTCTCATTGGATTTCTAATCAGAGCTCAGACCGGCTCGACTGGCGAACCTGTCTCGCGCTATTAGCTGTTTGTTAGGGGAGAATTAAGCGGCGACGAAAGGCCCACCGCACTCACACAGGCTAAACGTGGAGTATTACTGGTCCGCTGCAGGCGTGGGCTCGTGGCATTACAACTATGAAAGGGTCAAGAGAGTTTAGCTAAACAAGCTCATCCGCTGGACCGATCCGCTCTGGGCTGGATGGTTCTGTTTGTGCTGAGATGCTCCGGCGCTGCACAGCTGACTCAATTCATGACTTTAACTTATGTACCTCTGTTTCATTTTGCTGTACATTCAGTTTACATTACATTACTATTTCATTTATAGGTCAGTGACAAATAAGGTTTTCCAAAGTCATAAAGGACATGATGTGCATTTTATATCTTAAATATAGTTAGTGATATCAAAGCCTATTTCATTTATTAAAACCGAATATTAACATTATTATAATAATTCCACATTTTTATGGTTCTCCTGAGGTCAGAGCACCTGACATGGTAAACAGAACCGATCTAACCACGACTCAAACATCACACTTCTACTAAATCTGTGGCCATGGCATTGAACCATGAAGGTCGCTTGAGGTCTCCTTTATGATGCAATACCCTGGTCCCTCTTTTGTTAAACCATGTTAAAATAAAAGTCCTTTGCTTTCGGTTGTGCCGTCTAACATCTGAAGAAGTGAGAACTGAGCTCTTTTAAACTTGCCTTATTTTGCAACATGTTTTTATTTTTAAATTTTCAAACATACAATCATGCCGAACTGTTTTATTTAGAATTTTATATGCACAATAAACCGCATTTTTATTGCTAAGGCGAAATGAGTTTAGATGATAAACACATCTTTGAGGGCTGCCACTGTTACAACAAACGTGGGTTTACGTTCTAAAACAGCGAAAAAAAAACTTCTGTATTTCCAGCACATCATTCACAGTGAGGCAGCTTTACACTCTCAGAAATAAAGGTACTAAACTGTCTCTGGGTCAGTGCCCCTCTTGTCACTGGGGTGGAACCCTCAGGGGTCCATCTCAGTCCCTTTAGTCAGGGAACATAACTGAACCATAACCCACTGAATGATATGTTCTAAGCTGTACTGACTCCACACACCCCGTCTCGTCTCCAGGACTTTATTTTACTGTTCTGTTTAAAACATTCGGTTATGAAAAGGTACAAATACGAACTTTTCACCTGGAAAAACTTATTTAAGGTTCACAATCGGACCTTAAAACCACTGTTGAACCTTTGAGGGAACATTAAAAAAAAATTTACCTGAACAGCACCTTTATTATTAAAAGTGTGGATTGAGTCTCTTACCTGGAAGCGCGGCAGGTCAGAGGGTTTGAAGTCGTTTGGTGAGCAGCCGCACCAGTCCACAATGTGCTTATACTGGCACTTACAGCCCAGCTTTCTGTTCCAGTTAGTGATGCGCAGGTTATTGTCCACCATGCTCTCACAGTGGGGGCTGTTCTCCAACACGGTGTGGAAGAAAGACTGCAGAGAGAACGAGGGAGAGAGGGAGGGAGGGAGGGGGACAGGGAGAGAGGGAGAAGTAATGACATCTGATAAAATGAAGACGGATGTCTTACAGAGCGGCCTTATCAGGAGGTCTGCTCTGTTAAATGTCTACATCAGAGGCAAAAAAAGAGAGAATGAAGAGGAGTCCGCCTTTCCCACACCAGCAAATAAGCCTCCCAGGATGGGATGAAGAACCACACCTCTCTCTCAACACAATCCAAACATCTCTCTCATTAAACTGGACCCTGTGCTCACAAACATGGCATCTAATGAGTAAATAAGACACGAGAGGGATTCTAATTTTGCCGCTTTGCTTTTCACGTCTTCCAGTTCTTTAATCGTCTGATTCTTACAATTAAAAAACAAAAACACTAAACTGAACTTGAACAAGAGCATAAAGTAGTGTGTAGTGTACACTTACTATATAGTATAGTTGTGTTGTGCTGGTACGAGTGGATCAGACACAGCAGTGCTGCTGGAGTTTTTAAACACTGTGTCCACTCACTGTCCACTCTATTAGACACTCCTACCTTGTCAGTCTACCTTGTAGATGTAAAGTCAGAGACGATAGCTCATCTGCTGCTGCACAGTTTGTGTTGGTCATCCTCTAGTTCTTCATCAGTGGTCACAGGACGCTGCCCACAGGACGCTGTTGGCTGGATATTTTTGGTTGGTGGACTATTCTCAGTCCAGCAGTGACACTGAGGGGTTTAAAAACTCCAGCAGCACTGCTGTGTCTGATCCACTCAGACCAGCGCAACACACACTAACACACCACCACCACGTCAGTGTTACTGCAGTGCTGAGAATGATCCACCACCCAAATAGTACCTGCTCTGTGAGGGTCCATGGGGGTCCTGACCACTGAAGAACAGGGTAAAAGGGGGCCGACAAAGTATCAGAGAAACAGATGGACTACAGTCTGTAACTGTAGAACTACAAAGTGCACCTATATAGTAAGTGGAGCTGATAAAATGGACAATGAGCGCAGAAACAAGGAGGTGGTCAGAATGTTATGCCTGATCGGTGTAACTGTAACTTTCACATAACCACAGTTTTCCCCTTTTCCCCATGTTTAGCATCTGAAATTTGCTTCTTTGGTTTAGAACTGGAGCTTAGAGGCTAATGTAACTGACATCTAATGGAAGCTTATGGGAAGTGCCAATTAGCATCATGTGCGGTTGTTTAGTAATCTAATAGATTTAAAGCCCCCCTAGGAAGTATGTTCATCTTGCTCTAGTGGGCCACAATAGACACTCACTGTGCACTTTATTAGGAACACCTGCACACCTACTCCTTTATGCAATCATCTAATCAGCCAATCATGTGGCAGCAGTGCAGCACGTAAAATAAAGCAGATACAGCTTTAAGGTAATGTTCACGTCTACCTTCAGAAAAGTGTGATCTCAGTGATTTTGAGCGTGGCATGATTGTTGGTGGCAGACGGGCTGGTTTGAGTGTTACTATGGCTACGTTCACATTACCAGGTTGAAGTGGCAAGAATCCGATCTTTGGACTCAGCAGAAGGCGGGACAATTAGAGGAGCTGCCTGAGCTGAAATCGAGCGACTCACCTCGGCCGGCAGCAGCGTGTAGGCGTAGAAGCGCTTCATGCTGGTCACCAGGTCGTCCTCCGAGTTGATGACGTACTCCACGAACGCACGATTCAGCAGGAACCAGTCGGAGCCGCCGTCCACAGAGATCCCCTCCGGAATTTTCCTGTCCCCCAGACGCCACATGTGTGTGTCGCACTCGAAGAACAGCCGGTCCAGGCCCTGCTTTCGGATGAAGCTGCAGAGAACATTCAGTAATCACAGTCAGGGTCCACAACGTCTCTCCAGGAGTCTGGGGCAGTAACAGCCTCTACTCTTCTGGGAAGGCTTTACACTAGATTGCTGTGAGGATTTGATTGAGCATTAGTGAGGTCAGGTACTGATGTTGGATGGTCAGTTCTGGATCACACAGCTCATCCCAAAGGTATTGAATTGAACAAGTGGATAATGGTCACTATTTAGCTAGTGCTGCGTTCAAATTAAGCTCGTAACTTGAAACTCGACTGGGAATTCCTACCAGGACAGTCGGGATGATATTCTCTGAGCTTAGTGCAGGATATCAAATCACACTGTTAGCAGTAATAAAGAACCACTTCTCTGCATATGAGGTTAATAGCTTTTGTAGTATTAGCTTTAGATCTGTCAACATTGCGACACAGAGGTGGGTTAAAGAATAATATTGACCATAAAGTTCCCTGTTTTGAGAACACTCTGACCCCTGAAGTTATCACTCACATCGCTAACATTTGCAGGCTAGCTTGTTGCTAACAACACTTGCTTTTATGGAGGCATCGTTTTCTTTTTCCTGCTTTGTAGCTCAAACATGCATAAGTTTAAAAATATGCAATTCCAAGCTCTTGGAATTCCCAACTCCAAGCCAACATAATTTCTTTTAGCACCCCTATGGGATTCCTACAGTATTTTAGTGCTAAGCTAATGACTATTCACATAAACATCTTTTGGCTGTTCGAGATTAAACACAGACATTTGAGGTCTGTAAAAGTCATTCCATCTGTTTTATCTTGTGTGTATCAGTGTTACAGTGACTCTTTCAGTAAAGAGTCCTGCATAGAGCTGCCGCCGCTGTTTAACATTCCTAACAACTTACCGGACAGCATATACACAGGCTGTGAGTCAAATCATCTTAAATGTAATCAATATTTCTCATTTTAAGATAATTTTAGAATATTACAAGATATTTCGACTTATTTCTAGATGTTTTTTAATTGTTTAAAGTTAATTTTACTTTTTGAGAGTAATTATCTATCCACATTGGCAGATCATGCTGCTTGTTTTAAGAATTGATTTAAACAAGCTAAATTATCTTCCCATATAATATAATATAACTTCACTTGATGAAACAAATAAAAATGACGTCGGACTTTATGGCACATACTGTAGCCTAAATACTGCAGCCAGATTTTAACAAAAAATAAAAGTGTACTTTCTTCTTTATGTTGTAGTTTTTATGTTTATTATTTTTGTTCCAATGCATAAATAAAACAACAAATTAAAATAAAACAGCCAGATGTGTCTTGATTTTTCACTTTCGGCTGGGAATTTTCATTCTGGTGTCGTAAATTTGACCAAAATTTTGGTATTGTGGCAAATCCAGCTTGCATGATGCTAAGCAGTGAAGGTTATAAGATGGTTATAAGCTTACTTGCTGGCTAAATCAGCCTGCTTGTTATGTCCACTCACACAGCTGTAACACAACGCGCTGCTTTTTAAATGGACACAAATCTTTCTTTAGGCTGAACTTTGAGCACTTAACTACACAAAATGATGCGATTATTCACGATGCATGATTTATCACTGCTATACACAGTTATGTCTGCTTCTCCCACACTGCACTGTTCTGTGTTATTACAGTTCTAAGCAGTACAGCGCGGAGGGAGTATCTGACACGCTGATTTTAAGATCCAAGTCTGCACTCGCACACTTACGGCTGTCGTTCATTAAAAGCCGTTGAGCTGAAGAGCTCGCAGGGACGGAGATGATGGGCATATCTGATACTGACATGTAATGTGTGGAGAGAAACGAGAACGAAGGGAGCTCGTTAAAAATAGCGAGCAAGAGGCTCCGTCACAACTCTGTCGAGTCTTATTACGCTCATCCACAGGTCACGCAAGCACTAATAGACCTTCTGAAATAGAGAGTTACTGATACAGAGGATTACTGGGCCTTCACAGGGGCCGAGTTTGGACCTGCTGTGAAAGACAGCGGCCTTATCTCTCGCCCCCAAGACTTTTACTTCATCACTGTCATGTAAAGGCAGGATGTAACTGCATATATACTGAACAGATGGAAGGATCAATCAGTCGTGTATCAGTATTGGCTGATTTTCAGCCCAAATATGCGATCAGCAAAGCTGATCAGTGACGTAAAACATACGAGCCGTATTTCACGGGTTGATTACAGGACCCTGCAGTTCCTCGTTCAAACACTAGATGGAA